CCTGCTTTTTCTACAACATAGTAGAAGGGTCTACTATAACAAATGGTGTAAAAGTAATTTGCTACACTCATTCACAGTGGCAGGGATCAGGATTAAACAAAGTAGTGAACTGGTGGGACACATGTTGCATGACTGCGCAATTGTCATTCAAAGTGTGATAGCGCTGAAAGCTGAAAATTGGCCTGGACAGGAAGGGGGTAAAAGTGTCCAGACTTGAAGTGGTTAAATAATTTTGTTTAGTTAAATTTGTTTAATTTGTTATCGGAATTTGTTTTGTTTCATTTAACCACATTTGAATTTCTGAATTCATTTGAATCGGCATGCGAATGCAAATTTTTTCTATTTGAAATTCAAATTTCGGATTACAGTTAAATTCTTTTTATTTTCTATTCTATTGTCTTTTGCATTCTATTCTTTGCTTTTCTATTCTACTCTGTTCCTTTCTATGCTATTCTTTTCTATTCCAATCTATTCTATTTGAAACTTGAATTTTGGAAGATGGTTATATTCATTCTATTCTCTTCTATTCCATTCTATTGTTTTTTTTCTATTCTATTCTTTTCTATTGCATTCTTGTTTTCGAATTCGGTTTCGTTTTCAAATTCGATTTGAATTTCGGACGTCGTTTTCAAATTCGATTTGAATTTCGGACGTAATTTTGTTTTGTTATTTTGGATTTGTTTAAATTTGTTACTATTGTAATTTGGAAGTTCGGATACATTCGAATCTCCAAATAACAAAAAAAATCATTGAATTTCGATTCGGAACTAAACAAACCGTAAATGTCTATAACGTATTGCATTTATGTTGACGCATATAAAAAGACAGTCATTAGGATTGTTGTGTTTGCTCTTTATCCATATTAAACAAATGTGATGTTGGTTTTAAAATAACAGAACTGCATTCCTTGCTATTTGTGATATTTCAGTAGTAACACACGATTACACAACAAATTGGAAATACACTCTACTTCAAGAAGTTGTCTTTCTTTTAGAACCCCTTTTTTTTGTTTTTATATATTAAATTGTCTTAAAGCATAATGTCACTTGGACTAGGCTCTTATATCTTGATTCCTACTGAAACCTTTACTGAGAGAATAGGAAGGCTGTATTTGCATTTTACTTGGCTGCCATGTTGATCTGACTCCATTACTTTGTTTTTTTAATAAACTTTGTTTTAAAGACATGGACATCCCAGCAACTAGTATTCCTATAAGGAGGGTAGCAATGGCAACCCCCATATTTCTTTCAGTACAGGGTTTTTTAATGTCGGGGTTAACGGGGCTTGCTTGGAAGATAATCTTGCCATTTTGCAGGTTGCTTACTCAGTGTTGGACTGCTCATGATGCTTTCCCTTTTTTGTCCCCCCAGCCTCACATCGCTGTTGATAATTTGGATCAAATTCATGATGAAAATGGAAACAATCTACTGCACATTGCAGCATCCCAGGGACATGCTGAATGTCTGCAGCACCTTACCTCACTTATGGGGGAAGATTGTTTAAGTGAAAGGAATGAGGAGCAACTGACACCTGCTGGATTGGCAATAAAGGTAATGAAGACCTCCTACTTGTGATACAGTAAAATAAGGCTTTCCAAAGTTTGTGATGAGCAGCACTGACTTTATAATGCCTAGATGTATTCCTATAGCAGCGCATTATATGGTGGGCCACTTTGCAGAGAAAAAGGTCACTGAGTTACCAGTGGAATTCAATAGAGGGGGCATGGTGAATTACCCCACAGATTGAATGTCTCTTCTTTTTTTTGGAACTTCAAGTTTATTGTGAATTTTCCACAGGATAAAAAAGAAGAGAAGCGATATAAACAGTTTGGTTTGCATTCCATAGAGAACATAGGAATGCAACAAGTAGAGAGGTCGTGTATGAATGTCTCTGCTTTTATTGGCTCCAAAAGTCATTTTGGGAAGCTACTTCAAGAAGTCTTAGGGATCAGGAAGAAGTGTCAGTCTATGGTCAGATTCTCAGTACAGGAAGAACGGTATTTTACAGTATTAGTAGTATATATTGTAACGTTTAATGCTGAGCCGTAGGTATGATTTTTATTTCATAGTTACACGGGTCCAGCTTGTACGAATGTGAATATGCATATTTCATACCACTGTAGAAGCTGCAAATCACTATAGTATTTGGCACTACTACAGTGATAGCAGTAATATTCTGAGTACTGTGCCAAGCGGCTTCCGTTCTTCAGAATAACTACAGGAGGTTGCTCTCCATTTGCCACCATTTACAGAACACTTTGTATTTTTTCCAATGAATAGAGATTCTTTGATTGTACAAGGTGGAAATTGTAATGTCACCACCTCAACTCTCCACCTTATCCAATCAGTGAACACCTTGTAATGATAAAAAAAAAAAATACAGGGCATTTTGTAAATGGCTACAATGCTATGTAACAACCCCCCATGTGGTTACCATGCAGAAAGCAGGGATGTTCAATTCCTATTGCCTGACACCTTGGACATGCAGTTCCGGGCCTTGGGCAGGTCGTTTTTTTCTACCTTTAGCCCTGCTGTGGGCAAGGAGCGGGCTCACCTGTCAGGTGGAAGCATTGCTTCCACACAGTGCCAGCCTCTTTCCCCCCCCGTGAGGTTTCCTGGGCTCCGCTTGCCCATATGCAGGACTGGGACCAGCTCACCGCCGTTGGCTACAGGGGAGGGAGGAGAGTGGACACGTCCGCTCCCCTCCCCTTCTTCTCCTGATCCGGAAGTGACATTATGCTGTTACTTCTGGGTCCCCGTTGAAAGATTCCCAGCCATGGAAGCCACGAAAGAATGTAATGCTGTGCAATGTGCACCGCATTACATTCAGTGGAGCACAGGAGAGACATGTAGGATCTTTTAGACCCTGGATGCCTCAATATAAAGAATCTGTAGCCAAAAAAGCAACACATGTGATGAGAAAAAAGTTTGTGTTTTTTTATTGTAAATAATGAAAGTTACATCCAAGCACATACCATCCCCCACCCAAAAAAAAAAAACTGAGGCCACCCCACCCCCACATATACGCATGCACAAATGTAAAAGCACATGGTGGGGCGCCTACGCATGAAAACATCGTTTGCGATACACATGTCACACATTGCCACGCGCGCCAGAATGAGATCAATAATTCTAGCACCAGACCTCCTACGTAATGCTAAACTGATGACCTATAAGGAGCTTTAAAAGTGTTGACCTATAGAAAATATAGGGTACTGAAGTTTGTTGCCATTTCACGAGCGCACACAAATTTAAAGTTTGTTGGATAGCTATTTACTCAGTGCAACCTCATCTTTTATACTTTACAAAACAAATGGCAATTTATTGCTTTTTATGCCCTAAAATTAACTTAAGTGTTTCCTAAACCTTTGTGATAATATTGTGCAACATAAAAAATAGGAACTACCATTATTTTATTCTCTAGGATCTCTGATTTAAGAAAATATATTATGTTTGGGGGTTTGTGTAATCTTCAGGCCTAAAACTTGTATTTTTTACTGAAATTTTGCGGTGATATCATGCGAGATAAAAAATTGGAACTACCACTATTTATATTCTCTAGGGTCTCTGCTTTCAGAAAATATATGTTAGGGGGTTTTATGTAATCTTCAGGCCAAAAATGAATTTTTAAACTTGTGCAGGAAATGCAAAACGGCTCTGGGAGCGAAAGGGATAAAGGACAAGCCCGACACTCCCCTTTCCTGAGGAGCAGCCAATGTGTGCTCGTTACACTGCAAGGTCTCTCCCCTGCCTGCTAGTCCCCGGGGGCGGGGCTGGAGAGTGGCAGGGAGGGGAGGAGGAGATAAATAGCGCAATGTTAAAAATATTAAACGTTTAAGTCGCCATAAAGCCCCTTTTGTTTTTAAAAGCCCCAACCATTCCTAATATCACCTCCAATTTAAATACAGTTTTGGGTTACAATTGTTTTTTGTTTTTTTTTATCTGGACAAGTAGATTGTCATGAGGGATAAGTAGATTGGGGCACCGATTTAGTCCCTGGACAAGTAGATTTTTTTTAAAATGTCCACACCCCTGAAAAAGGAAGCTTCTTGACACCAGACCTGGATGACTACTGCTATCCCCATACTAGCGCTGACTCCTACAGAGATTGTCAGCTTTCACACTGATCACTCAGGTTTGAGATTTGATACCCACATTGGTCCAAGTTGAACCAATGTAACTGTGCAATAAAAATCACACCTAGAGTTCAGCCTTCAGGGGTGCAGGTGGTACTATTTTTAAACTGCAAAAGTTGTGATGTTGTACATGAATGACCAAATTCTGAGAAATATGATATTAAAACAAACATTGCAGTTCCAAATTACAGTACAATTTTAATCAAACATGGAAGCTTCACATTTATCGGTCACTTTGGAGTCTAATAGTAGATGTTTTATGGCAATTAGAAAACTCGACTTCCACTAGATATAATAAACACCAAATAATGCAGTTATATGTTAAAAAAAAACCCTAAATGTATTTTAAACTACAAATAAGTGTATCTAAATTTGACTTGTTGCTGCCTCTTGTAACAACATATATACCAGCACTTGGCCTGGGGGGGGCAGGGGAAGCACTAGGAGCCAGTCAGGCTTGCAGCATGCAAATGTGCTGACAGGAAGCAGGCTGCATACCCTGTGTACAAAAGATCTGTGTACTTACCTGTTTTCCATCTAGCCTCGTGATTGTACAGCTCCGGCTTCCCAGTGTCAGTGAGTGACTGCTGGAGGGGACAGGGGGAGTGCCAGTGGTATCACTAAGGTTGGTGTCACCTGCTACGATAAATCATGGTGTCACCCCCCCCCAGCCTGCCACAGTGCTCTCTCCCTGCCGCTGTGGAGTGTCAGAAGGACAGGCAGTAGGGCACTGAGCTGGCTAGTACATTGGTGCAGCTCCCCCCCCCCCCCACTTCCCCCATGGCTTGCCACAGTGCTACTTGATGGTGTCACTCAGGGTTTCTTTCTCAGAGAAAAGGTGCAGGAACACAACCTCTTCCTACTCTGCAGGGGAGGGGGGTGGCAGGGCTGGGCACAGCTGGCTCTCCGCATCAAATTGTGGGTGTGGCCGTATTACATACCAGGTGTTCAGAAGTGCGCAACGTACAGAGTGCAGTGTTGAGGCGTACACTAAATACAGAGTGCTGAGTTAAAGAGTGTGCTACATACAGTGTGCAGGATTGAAGACTGTGTTATATACAGAATGCAGTGTTGAGGGGTGCGCTGTGTACAGAGTGCAGGGTTGAGGGGTGCACTGTGTATAGAGTGCAGGGTTGAGGGGTGCGCTGTGTACAGAGTGCAAGGTTGAGGGGTGCGCTGTGTATAGAGTGCAGGGTTGAGGGGTGCACTGTGTATTGAGTGCAGGGTTGAGGGGTGCACTGTGTATAGAGTGCAGGGTTGAGGGGTGCACTGTGTACAGAGTGCAGGGTTGAGGGGTGCGCTGTGTACAGAGTGCAGGGTTGAGGGGTGCGCTGTGTACAGAGTGCAAGGTTGAGGGGTGCGCTGTGTACAGAGTGCAGGGTTGAGGGGTGCACTGTGTATAGAGTGCAGGGTTGAGGGGTGCGCTGTGTACAGAGTGCAAGGTTGAGGGGTGCGCTGTGTATAGAGTGCAGGGTTGAGGGGTGCACTGTGTATTGAGTGCAGGGTTGAGGGGTGCGCTGTGTACAGAGTGCAGGTTTGAGGGGTGCACTGTGTATAGCGTGCAGGGTTGAGGGGTGCGCTGTGTACAGAGTGCAGGGTTGAGGGGTGCGCTGTGTACAGAGTGCAGGGTTGAGGGGTGCGCTGTGTATAGAGTGCAGGGTTGAGGCGTGCACTAAATACAGAGAGCCGATTTAAAGAGTGTGCTACGTACAGTGTGCAGGATTGAAGACTGCGTTATATACAGAATGCAGTGTTGAGGGGTGCGCTGTGTATAGAGTGCAGGGTTGAGGGGTGCGCTGTGTACAGAGTGCAGGGTTGAGGGGTGCACGGTGTACAGAGTGTAGGGTTAAGGGGTGCACTGTGTATAGAGTGCAGGGTTGAGGGGTGCACTGTTTACAGAGTGCAGGGTTGGGGGGTGCATTGTGTACAATGTGCAGGGTTGAGGGGTAAGCTGTATTCAGTATGCAGGGTTGGGGGGTAAGCTGTGTACAATTTGCAGAGTTGAGGGTTCAGCTGTGTACAGAGTGCAGGATTGAGGGGTGATCTGTGTACAGAGTGCAGGGTTGAGGGGTGTTCTGTGTACAGAGTGCAGGGCTGATTAGTGCCCTGTGTACAGAGTGAAGAGTTGGGGGGTATGCTGTGTAAAATGTGCAGGGTTGAGGGATAGGCTGTATTCAATGTGCAGGATTGGGGTATGAGCTGTATAAAATGTGCAGAGTTGAGGGGTGCACTGTGTACAGAGTGCAGGGTTGAGGGGTGTTCTGTGTACAGAGTGCAGGGCTGAGGGGTGTTCTGTGTACAGAGTGCAGGGTTGAGGGGTGCACTGTGTACAATGTGCAGGGTTGAGGGGTGCACTGTGTACAATGTGCAGAGTTGAGGGTTGCACTGTGTACAAAGTGCAGGTCTGAGGGGTGCACTGTGTACAGAGTGCAGGGTTGGGGGGTGTTCTGTGTACAGAGTGCAGGGCTGAGGGGTGCACTGTGTACAATGTGCAGGGTTGAGGGGTGCACTGTGTACAGAGTGCAGGGCTGAGGGGTGCACTGTGTACAGAGTGCAGGGCTGAGGGGTGCACTGTGTACAGAGTGCAGTGTTGGGGGGTGTTCTGTGTACAGAGTGCAGGGCTGAGAGGCGCACTCTGTACAATGTGCAGGGTTGAGGAGTGCCCTGTATACCCCCCAATTCTCCCCACCCAGTACAAATCTTCCCCCCCCAGATTCCAGTATATAGATCAACCCCCCCCCTTCCTAAGAGAGCTCTCCTCCCACCCCAAATCATCTCACACCAACCTGGAAAGCACCAGAGAGAGGGACTGCTGCATAAGAACAGCTACAACTTACAGGGGAAAGGACAGTGCGGGCTGGTGGTGGGCTGCAGGTCTGCAGGCAGAGCTTCTGCCGTGACTGTGAGACTAACCGCTGTATAGATTCCCAGCCCCTGTTCTTCTGCTCTCATATTGAGATGTGCAGGGCAGGGAGGTTCTGAGCTGGGAGCGGAGCGTTGTCACTTGTAAATACTTCTGTATTTACAAGTGACAGTACTGAACAGTGACCAGTGGGTTCCAGCAGAAAGAGAGTCCTGGTGTCACCCCTCTAGTGGGTGTCACCCAGGTGCGGTGTGCACCTCACCACCCCCATAGCAATGCCACTGGGGAGTGCCAACAACAGCTAGGCCATGGGAGCTTTTGGGTGACATCACATCTCCCGCAATTCATAGCCATTGTAGAGTGCTCCCTTACACAGAAGAGCCAGAGCTACTGAATCACACCAGAATAAAAAAAGTAAGACACAGATAATTTTTAGGATAGTTAGTGTTAGGTTTTCTTCCACTTTAACGAGAAAAGTCAGATCACTACCCTGTCCTGCAGAGCTATGTTAATCACAAGATTAGATATGTAGATACAAAACCATTGACAAGTAAAAATAGCTCTTAAACGTGTGTTTCAGCTATGTTTTTTTTTTTTGCCTGGAATTCAGCTTTAAGAAACACTTCTGAATAGGTCTGGAATGGGAATTAACAGGTAGAGAATCATGGCACTAAATGGGGTAGTAAAGCTGCAGGCAACCATATAACCATTTATGTTATGACTGCAGTAGATGTGCTCCATTACTTGACTATAGGGTGCACTGAGGTAATTACAGGCACTATTTAACATATTCATTGATAGCATTCAGGATTTTAGATGAAGGCACCCATAAATGTGCTTACAATGCCTCTGGTTCATGCCACATTCAAACACTGGCAGGCCATTAGAGAGCTAAGACTGATGTACACATATTTTTTTTAGCAATTGAAAAGTAATCTTTCTTGGTTTCAAATGTAACATATTATATTAGTGGTCTAATAGGATATACTAAGATCAGACTTTCAAGGGATTTGCTGACACAGTACTAGATGAATATGTCCAGTAAACAGGGGATTGTGAGAGAATCTAATCATTCATATTTGAAAAATCAGATCCTTTGAATATGGCCAGATTCTATGTGAACTTACGATTGCAGTAAGCTGTGAAATCATTGATATCAGGATTGCAGTAAATCAAGCTGTTGCAAGTCAGATTTACTTTAGCACTCACTTTTTCATATATTCATAGGATCTAACTCTTGCACACACACCCAATTCTGCAGTATAAAATCTTATAGGTTGCATTAACAGGACCAACTGAAATCGCTTGTATTCCACTTATGCCCCACACATAATAATTTCCCAATTTTTTTTTTTTTTACGATTTTGGTAATCATAACACATATTAGACCACAGCTCTGCTTATGATTGCACCATAGAGTTTTCTCTGGCGGTTCAACAAGTTAGCAGTAGCTATAACCTGAAATGTTTTTTTTTTATTACAGTCAAATAGTATAGGTAACTTTTACAGTTACACAGTATAGGTGAGTTTTTATGGGGCTTCATTGTTTAAAGAATACATTGTCCAATAAAAAGCTATCACCGTCTGCTAAAGTGTTGACATTTTATTCTCTATATGACTTAAGTTGCTGGAGATCTGCCATTCTCCATTAAAATGCCTATAAACCTGAATCCTTATGAAAACAGTACAGAATAAATTAAATGTACATATTACTTTCCAAAGCCAACCTAAAAAACCTTAAGTTGTACTGGATGGGCTTTGATTTTCAAGTTGCTTAGTCTTCTTATTGGCTTTTAATTATCATAATGTATCTGCCAAATAGCGCTGGACAGTCCTCAAACAAGATGAAGTACTGTGAAAAGTCTTTTAACAAACTAGTCAGCATAATAAAGCAGAAAGTTTAAAACATATGCATGCGTTGCAAAGAAAGACAGTTGGTTCAGTTTTTCTTATCATTTCATGAACCTCAGTCTAAGGAAATATTTTCTTGATGATGTTCATATGATGGGTTACTACCGCCTAACTCATAATCAGGCACATTCTCAATCTTGCTTGAAGACCTGGACTGAATAAAGGCACATTTTTTAACAGAAAGAGTGTGTTTTAAAGGTTGGTTCCTGTGAAAAATTATTATTTTATGTACAGGTGGACCCAAGTGGTTCCTAATTATCTCTCAGAGACTCAAACATGGAGATCTCACCCCTGCATTTTTTTGGCTCAGCCCATGACATCATATGTCACTCCTACTGAGACACAAGCATGTTCAATGGCCTTGTTGCAGTGTAATATAACGCTTATCAAGGAGAATGTACCCCCTCATGATGGCTTTTGCAGATAGATTATCCTGGAACGTAGGTGCAGAACTCCAGTGAATCCCTGAGAGACATAAGATGTTGGTGACTGATATATCAGTTTTGTGTGGACCAACAATGGAATAGCATCATTTATGAGAATCTGTCTATATCCTATCCATTAAAGTAGTGGTTGTAGTGATCTGTTGACTGTAGAGTTTCCTTTAACATGCCATTGTATAATTTGCATCTGCAGGACCCCATCATAGAGATCTATATGTTGGCATCTCAGAAAGGTATAATATCAGTTTTGACATATATCTTCAGCAATCCTGGTTTGATTGAAACCAATAAAAATAATGCTCATGAAACTTTCAGAGCAGAGGTTGAAGGTGTGAGATGTTCCTTTGCTGTAATTTCAGAGGTTGCTTGTACCAGTGAAATTAGTGCACATTCTTAACTGCTCACCATAAATTTGCTGGCCACCTGTATAGTATGTGGTGAAAAGTCATTGCTGAAAGTTGTATTCAACATATGGAGAAAAATAAACTTCCCCTCCTGCCCCTATGGGCTGTCAGTCTCATATTTCAGTTGAAATAACATGAATTCTTTTAGATGGAGATGAAATCTGAGATAGAAAACATACCGTACCAGGGCCTCTACAGTTCCTTTAGGCTACACGTGAACTGAACAAAGGTTCTGAAGGTGGGGATGGTAATAGTCTTTCAACAATGTTTTTGACATTACTATATATGTGCTACTGCCTGTGATTTGTTTATCACATGCATTAAATCCATTTTACTTTCAGTGTATACCCCTATGTGAAATCTGCTTCAAAACCAGGAAAGTTCCCAAATTAAATGTTACATGAGACAGCAGTAGAAGTCCTCCTGACCCATGCTCTATGGTAAGCCTCATCCTTGGGGATAAGCCCTGTGGCTGGTGTTACTAGTATAGATAATGAGAATACAGTACATCAGCATGGATTCTGCTTCCCTGTCCTGTTTCCTCAAGTGTTCATATTAGCAGAATAGAATTTGTTTAAACTGGCTTTGCATAAAATAACTCGCTGTGTTGCTGACAGGTTCTCAAAGGAAACCTGTATTTACAGAAATACAAAAACTCCCTTTGCTGACCTCCCTTTTTGAAATTGCTACTTCCCTGGCTGGCTTTAAAGCAGTAGTAAACTTTAAAAAAAAATTCTCCCTGCAAGGTAAAGGCATAATGTGCTATTAAGCCCTCTATTGGCACGCTGTCACCGCTGACAGGGCTTCCATCTTCACCCGATCTTCCTTCGGGGTTCGTGGGCTGTGACTATTTGAATGGCAGAGTCGTGATGACGTCATTCCTGCACATGCCCGCGGGTGTCAAGGCCACAGCACTGAGCTCTGAAGGAACGACATGGGTATGCAATTCCTTCAGAGCACATGCGCCAGTGATGCCAACCAAGCGAAGATCTCCTAAACAGTGCATGTTTAGGAGATAATTATTTAGTCTACAGGTAAGCTTTATTATAAGTTTACTGTACCTGTAAGTTAAAATAAAAATCCAGAGTTTACTTTCACTTTAATACATTTAAGCTTATGTCCTGGGAATATACATGTACACCAGTAGTTCTAATTTCACTGCAATGTAACTTTCCCCATGCTTGCTTTAGATCGGTTACTAAGAAGGTATAGACATCAGAGACAGCCAATCAACTGGCATTTTAAAATGGTAAGCAGTGGCGACCTAAATTTCTTTTTTTTGTACTCAGTCCTTCCGACCCACAGGATTCCTATTTTAAGAGCCTGTTCACACTTATGCAACTTGTCATGCAACTTTGGGGTCCAAAGTCGCATGACAAGTTTCCCCCCATGTTTCCCAATGGGTACCATTCATATCTGTGCGACTTCAAAGTAGTTCCTGCACTACGTTGGTCCAACCTGAGGGCCATAGACTTGTGTGCGACTTTGTACAGCAGAAACCATTATCCTTGGTCAAAGCCAAAGTCATAGTCATCCAAAGTCGTGTCAAAGTTGCATCAAGTTGCACTGTAAAGTCACAATGAAAATTGCAGGATTTTGAAGTCAATCGCACAAGTGTGAATGGACCCTTAATGTGTCCATGAAGTTATCATTAACAGGTCACACATAAATCTTGTAAATGCCAGTACCCCATTCAAGTATGAATACAGAATAAAAATATGTTGATTGTAAATGGTACTTAATGTTAGTGGCAAAATGTCTACTTTAGTAGCTTGAATCACAATCCCCAGTGTATATAAACTGACAAACTTCCAAATGCTTTTGCCATAAGTAATAGTCGTAGTGAATTTTTTTCTACTTTTGGATCATTTCCAATGTGGAGTCTGTCTGGTTCAGCGAAGATTAAATATATTTGGAAAAAAGGGACATAGGGAATTGTCTAAGACACCTTCCAGTCGTAAATAAAACATAATCATTTGGAAGATATATATTAAATATACATCTATGAGCACATGCAGTCACTTCTACTAATATTTTATGCTTCGTAGTCTTGGAATTTTGACCTAAGCGCCATATTCACAAAAGATTACAGTTATATAACAAGTCAAAGAATGCACAAATGTAGCCATGAAAAAGATTACAGGAGACATTTGAGGTGGCTGGAACCGCATAGCTGCTTAACAGTAATTTAAGTAGTATGAAAAAGCAAAAAAAAAAGTTAGTCTCATGCTAATATAAAACAAGTGTTCCTGTACTATGCAAAAGTATAGCATAAGCTAAAGATATTTATTTTAGAACAACTCGAAACCACCCATAACATACTTTGTGCATATCAAAAATAAATTAAAGCTTTGTTGAAAAAATTTTTCATGTTACCTTGGCAGCATTGGATTTATGTATCAAAAAACTGGAAACCGTATTATGTCAGTGTTTCCTGTAGTAATTTTAGATGAAAAATACATATCTGATCCATCTATTTGCCAGAAGTGGATGGGCAAAGCCAGGGGTGGACTGACAACTCATAGGGCCCATGGGCAATAGGGGATCATGGGGCCCCTGTGTCCTAGCACACACTCAAACCACACCCAAAAAAGCCTATGAAAGGTACCAAGGGCATCTCATGAGGTCCCCCACAGACCCCGGGCCCTCGGGCAGTGCCTGAATGCACGAATGGTCATTCCGCCCCTGGGCAAAGCAGGAATGGCCTTTCCATTAAAAAAAAAATAGGTCTACTAAGTCATTCAAGGTTTGAAAGAGTGAGAGGTTAGGGAGTTTAACTTCTAGGATTCCTATTTCGCCTAGAATGGCTCTCGATAAATCAGATTACTGGATGTTTCCATTTTCAGAGGCATCTGCAAATTGTGATTGACTAACACCTTTCAGGTTTTCTTATTTACTAATTTGCTCAACTCCAGACAAGAAAACTACTAATTTGGTACCTCCATTGGTAAAGCAGTAATAAACCCAAAAGCAAACATTTATTGTATTGTAGCTAACTAGTTCTTAGATGCGATGGCTACTTTAGTTTTCTTTTCTAGGCTTTTTTTCTTATATTTTCATCTTGTGTTACAGCCAGCAATATATTTCAAAAGCGTACGCTGTTCAACAGAATGCATCGGTTTACAAGGGTGAAACAATCAATCCATTAGACACAAATATAACGCCTCCTGTGCTCAGGGACCCAGATCAGAAGAGGGCTGATGGAACAATATATGATAGGATATATGAAAGGTCATCCAAAACCGATCAAAGATTGTACGGCTCTAATGCGAAGCTGGGGAACCTCGATACACACTGTAGTGAAGAACAAAAACAAAGCGCACCAACCTAGCGCATTACCTCAGTATGCAATTGGTAAATGTATTGATTTAAGAAATACTCACAAAGGTAGCAATATAAAAGTCATATAGAATCCAAAATTGAAGCACTGGATTAGGAGACACATGCAAATCCCATTGAGATGGGAGAGTCTTAGGGCAAAGTTGACACGTTTCGAAGGGTGTCCCTTTGCGTCAGCTTTACCCTGAGAATCTCCCCTCTCGATGGGATTTGCACGTGTCTCCTAATCCAGTGCTTCAATTTTGGATTCTCTATGCATTTTATATTGCTACTTTTGTGAGTATATTTCTTATGTCAATAAATTTACCAATTGCTTACTGAGGTAATGCGCTTTGTTGGTTAGTGCGCTTTGTTTTTGTTCATCACTACAGTTTGAAACAATCCATTTACCACTGGCAGGTGATTATAAAGTGTGAGCTGGAGCTGGAGCTGGCTTCAAATTGCTAGAGCATTTAAATTTGCTAATACACTTAACAATACTCCCCCCCCCCCCCCCCAGATTGACAATGCTGCTGTCTGCTATGCCACTTGTGCTCACTCATCCAGAGTGGGGGCACTGTAATACAGGAGGTGTGTTACTGGCCTGATCACCATATGAAAACAAAAGGTAAAAGCCAAAGGAAAAACCTGATGCAGCCACCACATCCAATGATTGTTAAGCTGCAATATAATAATATTTTGATTTTGCGTTGCATACTGCTTTAAAAATTAGAATTGTAACCTGTTTGCTAGGCAATGTAGGTACTATTCTCTGAGATTGTTATTTATTTATTTGATTGGTTAGCCAGATCATGCATCTTATTTAAAATTGCCTAAGATAATCTTTCTCCCTTTGAGAAAATTTTGATCGAGAAGGCAGAGGAATGTTATGATTTGTCTGAGGCTAGGTTGTGTCCAACAGAAGTGCAAAAAAATTAAGGGGAATGGAAAGTAGGGTTATAACTTTTACTTTTATAAAGTTACAGTATGTTATTATTATTTCATTTTTATTTATTGTTTGGTCACTTGCTTCACTAACCAGGTAATTTGAAGTAGTGTGTCAATCAGTAATAGTTTTGACATAGCCTACATACAATAATTAGTCAGGTGTGTATCAGCATGAAAATATACCACCTGTAATTTTAATTGTTATCATATTCATTACCAACCCTCATGTTGCAAATCTAGCACTATTTGATATCACTATATACTCAGAACCATCAAATCCCTCAGTATGCACTTCATTCCAATCTCAGCATACTGTTCTCTTCATGGGGTTAGGGTCATATAACTAAACTATCCTTTGAAAGTTGGGCCTACAGCCCTTAGAAACAGACCCACCCAGTGTGCTGATTAAATTAGCATGCTTTTGCCAGTTGACTGCCACCCGCAGCTGGGATGACAGAAAGCCAATTCTTTATAATTCTCTCTTGAAGATATATTGTGAGGTTTGATTTATAACATCCACACTGAAGAGAACCCATGCTGTTCTAGCACTAGACATAAGGACTCATTTACTAAAATAATACCTTTAAAAGAGAAGTATGAGATTTAGGAAAAAACAAAAATCTATACTCAAGTAGGTGGATGCAGCATCATTCCGAACCTGCATCTGTCTCCTGCTTGCTCTGCACTGTGGACTGAGCGATCAAAGACCTGGGATTGCTCAGTTCCCAGTATTCTGGGAGTAGAGAGCCTGGGACTGTTAGTCCCCGGCTCTCTGCTCTGCCCTCCAGCGCTTATTACAGTGCTGGGCTGTGGAGGAGGAGAGAGCAGCTGGATCAGGCTCTCAGTGGCTCGCACTCCTGTGATACATAGGAGAAGTATAGCCAAATAGCTTTGGCTATGCTTTTCCTTTAAAGCTGAACTTCAGAAAAAAAAAAAAACCCTTACAGTGTGGCTACTCTGTACTGAAAGGGCTAAATGCTCATTTGGGTCCAGGGGGCCTCAAAAATCAGTTTCACTTACCTGATCTGCCTTTCCCGCATGCTCCAGTCTAGCTGTAAAGCCCCATATTGGCCCATATTGGCCAGTTCAATAGAAACTGGCCAACATTCTGCCCTGTGCTTACAACAGCCAGTCCGACAAAATTTGGAGGAAGGAAAAAAAATGGTGACAGTGTGTACTAGGCTTACAACTGGCCCCTGCAGACTCCCCTATGCTACGACGGCTGCAGGTCCTCTGATGTCATCTGAAGTCCAGTGTAGAGCCTATAGCCATGCAATAGATGTGAGGATGCTGATGGACAGTCTGCTGTCAGAGTGTAGAGGAGTAGAAGAGGGTGGAGGATTGGTTAAAAGCAGGGGTAGCCCCACTGCAAGGGAGGATTTTTCCATTCCCTAGAGATGGGCTTTAACTTAAAGTGCAACTGCTGCCAATTATTATTTTTAAACTTTGGATGGAGGGGAAAATGCTGTTAGGTTTTTTACTGGGATCTGAGTTGTGATCTCATTTGAGAGATTTCCCCTCATTTCTATTGGGACAAGAAGTGATTAGAATTCTGACTAATTAGGAAATACTGCAACAAAATATGTAAGTTTTCAGTACAATGGGGAAGGATTATAAAATCTGTCAGGTTATTAAAACTCCCTTCTTTTCTTGGTGGAAGCTGGTCCCTCACTTCTTGCCGTGCATTCACCGAGACAGGAAGTACTTGGAATATACCTAACAGGGTTAAGGGCAGCAAAAAAATAAGTCTATCCAAATCTAGAAAGGTTTTGGCTGAAGTGGGTCTTAACCAATAATTTTGTTTCACATATCCAATCATGTCCCAAGAAAGAAATTTTTCTTGACTGCACAATTGAAATTTAGAGTTCCAGCATAAAAACTACTCCGTTAGTCAATCTTCCTCATAATATAAACACATATTTCCTATATATAAATGTATAGATAATGGGTTTTACAGTAGTAATTTAAGTGCCTGGGAAGGTTTTCAACTTAGGAAAGGTTTTCTTTCAAACATCAGAACAGAGATGGAAATAGCCTTTTCCCACCAGGCCACAATAAAATACATGGAGTGTGTTTCTAACGTGTACTTAACATTAAGGGTCCTTAGGGAAACAGTCCCTACATAGGCACTACATGCCATTATCTGCTCATCATTTAACGCAGGGTATAAACTAGTCCGTAAAATGCCAGAGATTCTAAGCACAGGGACCAACAAACACTAATGAACTGGAAAAAGAAATACTAGAAGTCCATAGTATGACTACATACTTAAGTGAAGGGCAGCTGCAGCCTTTCTCCTTTTATAAAAGGAAACCTGGGTCAAATAGGCGCTTTGCTAATTAGCGTGCTACCAGAAAACACTGAGTGACACTCTCTCTCACCACTCGTTTATACAGATAAATCATTTTCACAGATCCACAGTCCACCGGAGAATTAGAGGACCATTCAGGTTTAAATTGTCAAAACCCCAGAACTCACTTTTTTCTCTTAGGGACTCCCAATCTATATCAACAAGAAGCAGATCAAGAGCAATTACAGCCATTCTGGAAGGACTGACCATGAGTCTATTCCTGAAGAAATATTTGCACAGAAAGTAATATAACACCACTGGGAAAGCCTGGCTTCTGAAGGGGAATGTTACAATTACGCATGACAAGATGCCATTGAGAATGAGGATTTCTGTGGCGGTCTTACATAACTACAGAGAGATTCTATACAGCTCCACATGACCACCACTATGGGCTACCCCTTCCTAACATAACTCAACAAAATATATGTCATTGGAATTCCATACGCATATAATATTGTAATTTTTGATGGCTTCTCAGATTTTGTAATAGCATATGAGCTGTGTGTTATGGTGCACAGTGGGTAAGAAATTCCACACATTGTTAGCAAAGGCAATTTTCTTTTCTTTTTTTTTAATTTTGCTTTGGAATGTAGCATTTTTTTATGGAACATTTTTTCATATTATAGTGTTTTAATTAGCCCATTAGTCTAAGATTAATTTTTGAAAAAACATATAGAGGTAGATTTACTAAAGCTGGTGCACTCAGAATCTGGTGCAATTGTGCATGGTAGCCAATCAGCTTCTAACTTCAACTTGTTCAATTAGGCTTTGAAAGTAAAAAAAAACCTGAAAGTTTTCTAATGGTTTCTATGCAGAGCGGCACCAGAGTTTACACTCTCTGTTTTTAGTAAAGTTTTGGCAATAAAACCTGAAAGCTGCTTGGTTTCTATGCATGATTTCTATGCTGAGTTGCACCATATTTTGCGCTCTTCAGTTTTAGAAAATAACCCCAATAGTTTGAACCTAATGACTGATGTTTCCTACTAAA